CATGTGTGAGACAACAGAGTGTGAGACGACAGAACCGAGTGTGAGACGAATGAACCATGTGTGAGACAACCGAGTGAGACAACAGACAACGGAACAGAGTGTGAGACGACAGAACCGAGTGTGAGACGACAGAACCGTGTATGAGACGACAGAACCGTGTGTAAGACGACAGAACCGTGTGTGAGACAACAGAGTGTGAGACAACAGAACCGAGTGTAAAACAATAGAACCATGTGTGAGACAACAGAGTGTGAGACAACAGAGTGAGACGAATGAACCACGTGTGAGACGATAGAACCAAGCGTGAGACGACAGAACTGAGTGTAAGACGATAGAGCCGTGTGTGAGACAACAACAGACAACGGAACCGAGTGTGAGACGACAGAACCGAGTGTAAGATGACAGAACCGTGTGTGAGACAACAGAGTGTGAGACAACAGTGTGAGACGACAGAACCGAGTGTAAAACGATAGAACCGTGTGTGAGACAACAGAGTGTGAGACAACAGAGTGTGAGACAACAGAGTGTGAGACAACAGAGTGTGAGACGAATGAACCACGTGTGAGACGATAGAACCAATTGTGAGACGACAGAACCGAGTGTGAGACGATAGAACCGTGTGTGAGACAACAGACAATGGAACCGTGTGTGAGACGACAGAACCGAGTGAGAGACGACAGAACCGCGGCAAGAGGGATGTGACTCATCCCTCTTTAATGAAATCACAATCTGCCTGCTCATCAGCTCTGCCGCGGTTCTCCGGTGGAACGTTTCCCCTCCCTGAAGCCGATTAGCCTGAGTAATGGTGACTGTAATGTGTCTAACGGTTCTGATGGGCCTTGTGAACGAGGCGGCCATGACGGCGTGCCCGTGTCGGGCAGCTCCGCGGCTTTATTGTACATTAGTGCTTACGACACCCGAGAGAGCAGGAGCTGCTTATTAAAAAACGTGTTATTTAATAAAAACTACACTAAACCTCAGATCTGAAAACCAAACTGGCCTCCAGGCCTGAAGAGGACTGAGGTGCGCTAACAAGACAAAGAAACCATCTGCAGGTGAGCAACAGACAAAAACTGTTAACGGAGCAGGTCTAATCAGCTGGTTCCCATAGCAACACTCATCGACCTAACTCCTGACCAAAGTGTAAAATAACAGCAAGACACATGGACCAAAATACAATAAACAAACAAACAAACAAAAACATGAACTGAAAGTGCATTTCTTACAGAGTGAACATTCTCAGAGGCTTTACTGAAATGTACTAAAGGCTAAATGCTAGTTACATTTAGTAAAACATTAGCTTTTAACTATAATTAGCATCAGTCAGCATTAGCAGCGCTAGCATCAAATGTATTAAAATGAGCAGTGACCGTTGCAGAATTAGTGTTAACACAAACATTAACAGTAGAGTTTGCAGAAGTAGCATCAGCAGTATTACCATTAGCAGCACTGCTAACAGTAGTAGAATTAGAATTAGCAGTAGTAGAAATGACAGCAATATAATTACTATTATCGGTCATTGTTATAATTATTACCATTATGAACATCACATGGTGTGATGTCCTTGAGCAAGACACCTAATCCCTAATTGCTCCCCGGGAACTTGCGTTACACAGCTGCCCACTGCTCCACCTGGGTGTATCCCAGGTGTGAAGGGTTAAATGCAGAGAACTAGACTCAGCATTGTATGGAAATATACAATGATGACAACACGTATACTTCTATATCATCCTCCCAGCAGACAAAGGAAGGTGCACAGTGATCTTGAACCAGAAAGACAATCATGAGAAAGTTATGACACTCCTTAGTGACTTAAACACTTATGAACTGCTGAAAAGAGATCCAGGAAGTGGTTACAAGAAGAAGTTAATAGATTGTCTGAAACATTTGGCGCAGGACAAGGCTATTGACTGTATTCTGTACCACAGACTGTACCCAGGGGAGGCCACACCTAGTCTGTATGGTTTACCTAAAATCCACAAACAAGGTGTACCTTTAAGACCTATTGTTAGCATGATTAACTCTGTCACTTACAATGTTTCCAAATATCTGGCGTCTGTACTCATCCCTTTAGTTGGCAGCTCAGAACACCACATACAGAACACCATGGACTTTGTGGATAAGGTGAGGGATGTCATCATGGAGACTGATGAAACAATGGTCTCTTTTGATGTCACATCACTCTTTACGTGCATTCCTGTTGATGATGCAGTAGAGGTGGTCAGTTTAAGATTAAAATCAGACACCACTCTGAGCAGCAGGACCACGCTTTCCACAGAACAACTGTCAACTCTTGAAACTGTGCCTGCAGTCAACCTACTTCACATATGGGGAGCAATATTATAGGCAGAAACATGGGTGTGCTATGGGGTCTCCAGTTTCTCCTATTGTGGCCAACCTGTACATGGAAGAGGTAGAGGTGTTCATTTTCAGGGACACCACCAAGTCATTGGTTCAGGCATGTTGACGACAACTGGATTAAAATTAAATCTCAGGAAGTCCAACATTTTACTGATCACATCAACTCTGTGGATAAATACATCAAGTTCACACGAGAAGATGTAAAAAATGGCAGGCTGGCTTTCTAGGGCTGTGACCGTCTCTGATGGAGGACATTTGCAAACTGATGTGTACCACAAACCCACCCACACAGACCAGTATTTGCAGTTTGACTCCCATCACCCTTTGGAGCACAAGTTAGAAGTCATCAGGACTCTGTATCACAGAGCAGACAGCGTCCCCACTAACTCAGGAGCCATGCAGAAGGAGAAATCCCACACAAGACAGGCTCTAGGATGGATGGATGGACTGGTTCATCCCAAAGATCCAGTCACCTGGCACAGAGTCATGTGTATGCCGTTCAGTGTCAGGAGGGTGATCAGTTTCACAACGGGGAAACTAAACAGCCACTGGCCAAAAGGATGGCCCAACACTGAAGAGCAACATCATCAGGCCAGGACTCTGTGGTCTACACTCATCTCCAGGCCAGAGGTCACTCATTCAGAGCTGAAGATGTTGGTTTGAACGTTGGTTTGAGAGAGTGAAGGAAGAAGTCTTTGTGAAGAGAAATCGTCCATCACTAAACAGGGGTGGAGCCTCCGTGTTCAACTGTCCCCCTCTTACAATGCTGTTATTGCTAGTATCACTCAGCTCTCTGTGAATAGCAAGCGGTCATCAGGGCACCAACCATTAATTGTTAGGCTGATGGTCCTCCTTTTACATGTGAATAACAAATTCTGGCTGTCATCAGCAAACTGGTTGATCCACTACGAGAAGGTGCTGTTTATAAGACTGAGTTTGTTGCAGCTCCTCAGACTGAAGAAGTCTTTTGGATGAAAGATGAAACGTTTCAACAAAGAAGAATCCGTCCAGAGGACCGGACTCAACCTGGTTAGATACATTTCCAGTATTAGCATTAACAGTAGTAGAATAAACAATAGCATAAACAGAATTAGTTGTAGTAAAATTGACAGTGAAAGAATTGGCATCAGCTGTAGAGTTAGCATTAGCAGCGGATCTAGCATTAAATATAGCAGCATTAGCATTAGCGGTACAGAATTAGATTTCAAATAAATAAACGTTTCTGAAGGATTTCAAGATATCTCAATGTATTTTAAATTAAAACCTTTAAGTAAAAGTTGAATATTTTCAAAGTAAAAAAAGTCATAACAGCCATCTTCTAAATAAGCTGAATGTTAAAAAGTTAAAATGTTGCAAAATGTGCAGAAGTAATTAGGAAAACACAGAAAGAATTCATACTTCCACAGTAAAATCCCTCAAAATGAAATAAGTTCAACAATCGAGGCTGAATAAATTAAAAACATTAAATTAAATATCTAAAACTTTTTTTGTTTGTTTGTTTTAAGGAGAATAGGTTATTTTACTTGTGCAAAGATTCACACATCTTCTTTGGAACATTAAAAAAGTACATACTGGTCGTTGAAAACCGTGAAAAACACAGTAAAAAAAATGTTTTGGTGTTAAAATAAGTCAAAAGTTTATATCAGTTAAGAATATGGACACATCCTTTAAGATGTGTCCAAAAATTTTATTTTATAACACTCAAAACTAATCTCAAAAATACCATGAACATAAATTCAGTTTATTATCGGTGTACAAATTTAAGGTTGAGTCATTTGTTGCTTCTTGTGTTACCAAGAAAATAAAAATATTCAAAAACTATAATATTCTAAAACAAAGTTTCTTGAAGGAATGCAAACCGCCCGCTGCCGTCCATGACAGAGTTTCACTCTAATGTCCTCCTGTGTTGAGACGTGAGGAGCTGTAGCGGTTTGACCTTCAAAATAAAGTGACGGAGCTGTAGCGGTTTGACCTTCAAAATAAAATGATGTAAAATCTTGAGCGATCACTGAGCCCTCAGTCTGTGGTGGAGAGGACTCCCAGCTACTACCACCCCAAACGTTGGCCCAGTAGCTGTAAAACTGGAGAACGACCACAAACGTGAGTTTGAGGAACATCAGGTGGCTGGAGAGGAACCAGGACGTTCTCCTCCTTCCTGCTCCTGTATGGAGGTTCAGCTGATGGGAGGTGAAGGGGGTCCATCGGGTCGGTAACACACAGGCTAACGAGCTGCCAGCTCTCTCTCCACCCTGCTCACACCAACCCCCTCCTCTGAACCTCCGTCTCCCCTCACCTCCTGCCTGCAGCTCATAACATCAGCTGCAGGAGCGCCTCCTCCTTCTCAGAGCCACCATCTTTCTGATCTGACTCCTGCTGCTTTAGTCAGACACTGATGGCAGCGAACACAGAGCGCATGCTAACAAGACTCCTCCTCCTCCTCCTCCTCCTCGCTGACCTGAGACTCTCAGAACAGACGGAGGAGCAGAACCCCCCGCCCCTGCCCGGTGTTTGTGTGTTTACAT